TCTTAAAACACCGAGTTACCCCTTGTGATGGTATAACCACTGCTCCACCTGAACTAGACGGGGTAGTAGAGCCATCTATGTAAATGTGCATGTGGTTACTGTAGTTTTGTTCCAATAGGAATAGACTCAGTTGCTTCAGGGCATGTGTCGGTAAGTCCGATTTTCTCCTCATCCCTGGAATCATTAAGTGAACTGGCGGCCCTCTCAAGCTCCAAGGAGGAAGCAGTGGCTTTGATGCAGGTGCGTACGTCTCAGTAAACAATGAACAATGCTTGTAGACAATAGTGCCGTATGTCGTGCGGGGCCTTTCAGCAAGTAGGCTCGCCAGGTGGTGAGAAGGGGTCCTGGCATAATGCCTGAGGTGCATGCGCATTGTCTCGGTAATAATATGCGTCTTTATCGAGTGATCGTGAGCGATGGCAATGGTTTCAGCCGTTGAAGCTCTGCAGGGTAATCTTAAGGCATATCTTAAGTGCTTGGGCTTGAATGCTCTGAATTGCGCGCAGGTTCGTCTTGCCGGTGTCAGATATTGCAGGTAAGCTGTACCGTAAAAACCCGATAAACAGCACTCTGTACAGTTGTAGCATAGATGGTATGGGCACTCCCCAATTCTTTCCTGCAAGGAATTTGAACATGTGGCATGTTGCGATCAGCCGCTTCATCACATAGTTCACGTGTGGAGTCCACGACAGGTTTCTGTCTATCATAACTCCCAAGAACCTGTGGCTTCTGCTGAACGATATGTATTCTTTATATGCTGTAAGCAGACATTGGTTTCCGCGTGAACGCTACCACTGCACATTTTCCGCAGGACACCTCTAGGCTTTGTTTACGAAGGTAGCATGACGTCGTTGTAGCAGCCTTCTGAAGGCGGGCGCGAAGCTGAGGCCTTGTCACACCTGATGTCCAAATGCAGATCTCATCAGCGTAGACAGAAAGTTCTACAGTGCTAGGTAGCTGCTCGTCTAGACCAATGAGAGTTAAATTGAAAAGTGTAGGGCTTAGCACTCCTCTCTGAGGAACTCCTCGGCTGCTGTAATAATCAGGTGTTGGGCCATTTGCTGTCATCACGTAAAATGACCTCAGCTGTAAGTAGCTGTACACCCACATATATATCTTGCCACCAAGACCTACTTTTCCAAAGCACCAAGGATAGCTTCATGGGTGACATTGTCGTAAGCCCCCTTAACGCCTAGAAACAGGGCAGCGCACAGCCTCTTACAGGCTTTCTGGTGTTGAACATATGTCACCAGATCAACAATGTTGTGGATTGACGAATGGCCACGCCTGAATCCGGTCATGGATACTGGATAGATTTCGTAGTGCTCTTAATACCACTCCATTCGTGTTAGAATCATTCGTTCCATCGTTTTTTCCACACAACTGGCAAGTGCGATAGGACGGTATGAGGCAATATCCAAAGGAGATTTACCAGCCTTTAGAAGTTGAATGAGGCGACTTGACTTCCATGCCTGGGGAACCGTACCAGTCTGCCAGGAGTCGTCGTATAGGCGTAAGAGTGCCTTCCGAGCTTCGTCTCCAAGATTACAAAGGGCACGATAGGTAATGGCGTAAGGTCCGGGTGCTGAAGAATGCCTGCACAGTGCCAGTGCCGCCTCTAGCTCATCCATAGAAAACTGGCATTCCATACGGGGATCACGTGAGGGCGGTGGGTTGTCAAATGTTCCCTTCTTGATACTGTGAAATTGGAATCACTGGCAATTCTTCTACAGAAAAATTCTGCGACGTCAATCTCTGCATCGAAAATGAAGTGCCAGAGATGTAAACGGGTGTCGCTGACCCAAGGTTGTGCTAAGACCCCGGACAGTCCGCCATATCAGTGATAGGGGCTTTCGTAGAACCAACGACTCGCAAAAGGATGTGCAATGTCGCCTAGCCAGTTTATCCATGTGCCGCTGCATTTTCTTTTGAATGCGTCTAGCCAGCCTCAAATCATTCATGCACTTGGTCCGTCGGTACCTTCGTTCTGCACGACGGCGTATTGCGCGAAGTTTCTCAAGCTCGATGTCGAAGTCAGTGCGCTTGTGACTAGTCAACAGTGAATGCGTGGTATTTGCAGGACATTCTTTATCGAGTCCTCTAGGTTATATGATGAGCCGTCGGTACAGCAGTCTTCCATTAACATTTTGAATTTCGGCCAATCGGTGTACTTGAGGCCTCTTGAGGACTTGGAGCTGGTGAAACCTTCAATACACAGGTAAGTTGGTATATGGTCGCTGCCCCGCGTTTCCAGATCCAAAAACCACTGCACTTTCCTGGTAAGTGAGTGAGAAACTAATGTAAGGTCCAGGCAGCTGCTATAGGCTGATCCGCGTAAATATGTAGGGCTTCCTTCGTTACAAACACAGAGTTTGTACTCCGATGCTAAGGACACCAATTTTCTTCCTCTACAGTTGACCCTGGAGCTTCCCCATAGGAAATGGTGGGCATTGAAGTCGCCAGTGATCACCTATGGCCTTGGAGTCGATGTCAGAATACCGCGTAAGCGCTCGCAGTCAAGGCAGCTTGATGGAGATAAGTAAGCTCCGATAGTCGTGAAAGCAACCTTATCCTTCTTCACAGTAAGGCACACATACTGATTCCCTTCATCAGGTGAGACTCTGTGGTGAACGTAAGTAAGATCATGGCACATGACTACAGTAACTTTGCTGCAGTCTCTGTGAGTGGAGGACATAAAGCACTCATATCTTGACAGCTTCATTGAAGCAGACAGGTTGGGTTCGCAAATCACGATAATGGGGAAGCGGTTTACAAATACAAACTGTCTAAAGTCAGACATGCGCGACTTCAGTCCTCTCGCATTCCACTGAAAGACAGATGCATTCTTGACTTCCGCTCGAAACGACGGTGCCTCGCTGGCCATGGTTTTACCTTAGAGCTGCAAGCACCGGACTCAGGGTGTCCAGCACGTGCAGTGCGGTCTGCACAGCCGAAGTCTTCATATTACTCAGTAGGACACGCATGGCACTCATCAGCTATTGCGCAAGCTTATCACTTGACCTTCATTCATCGCATCACTAGTTTGAGGGGTCCTCGAGGGCGGCGGGATTTGATGCAGCTCTGAAGTAGGTTGACTTCGTGGAAGTGAGGACCACTGTTCGAAAGGTGCAACTGCTGTCCCTTTCTTCTGTTTGGCAGTATCCGTCTTCTGTGAGCTTGGTGTTTGTGGGTCAGCCTCTTTGATAGAGGATGACATCTCTCTATTATTAGAGCAGTTTTTTCGTGATGGTCTTCGCCCACGACGCCGTCGTCGGCGTAGTGTAGCGGCAGCTTCCATGTGCGTTGAATTGTCCCGCACTATACGCCTGAGTACTGCGTGCTCGTTTCGCGCCCGCGGGCAATCTTTGGATGAGGCCTCATGAGCGCCGTGGCAGTTTAGACATCGTAACACGGTGGCTCCACAGGCGTCTTTTGAGTGAGACTCAGCGCACCGCCGACACACAACTTTGTTCTCACAGACACCTTTTACGTGTCCCATCTTGAAGCACTTGTAGCATTGCAGTGGCTTCGGTATGTATGGTTGCACTGAGTGGCGAACACGGCCAACTTTGACATACGAGGGAAGGCTGTCTCCCTCGAACACAAGCCTCAAGCAGCATGAGTTGCCGAGTCTGGTAATGTGCATGATGCGGGTGCCTTCTGTCGCTGGCTTTATTAGTATTGGCAGGTCATTAGCTGGGATGGAAAGATCCACATCATAAATGACGCCTACAGTGCCATTACAACCTGTAGCGACCATTGGCTGAACTCTCACGTTGCCGATTTCTGTTATGTGCCGAAGACTTTGCAGTGCGCTCCGGTGCATAACGTCTACAGCAAGGACATTCTTCTGTGCATTGATCCTCACGTCTTTGATCTCATTCGGCGCGGTTTCCTCGAGAAGCACAGAAAGAACTTGCCTGGTGAGGAGTCGCAAGTTAGATGCAGGGTCTTCAGTCATAAACAGCATGGTGTGCGGCCACCGCTGTGGTGCAGTCTTCACGGTGGAAACACTTGCCGACGATGCCCTTCGCAGCAGTCTTCGTTTTGTAGATCAATTCATGACGACCGTGAAGTCATCATTCGATGACTCAAAGCCGTCCGAGTACAAATCAATTGCCTCGCTGTCCGTGTCACTCGACGCGATGCTACGCTTCCTGGACGACGAAGCCCAGCGCGACTGTTGCACACTTGGAACATTCTCAGGTGTGTCCTGAAGCATCACCGCAAAGGAGGGAGCGGCAGCTCCCAGGATTTCCAGGAAAACAAATTGAAAATATTGAGACACGGGTACAAGCGTTCTGTGAGAGAATCACTTCGTTGTCGTCTCCAGAGTTGCGTGTGGTGCACGTCGACCCACCGCTCACATCGTGCCCATATGTGCTTGTACAACACGTCACGGTCTGACTACCTCTTCAGTCACCCTAAGATTGGTTGTTTCAAGACCGTTTCAAACAATTCTCAATCAAGAGAAGCGCCCATGAGAATATTGTGTCCTTGGACTGAATCAAGCCAGCACACATGGACCGTGACGATGTCATGTTGCCTCCGCTAAGGGAATCATCATCAGGACTCCCAGCTCCAGTGCCAGCCCAAGTCCATGAGGTGCCCTCCGGGCTGATGCACAGTGGGCGGATATCAAGAGCACCCACTTGCCTGGTCCTGAGGCTCTGGTCGGCAACTCATTAGGGGGGATTGCTGTGGTGGCAGCCAAGCCAAGCCAAGCCGCCAGGCAGTGCCACCCTTCACTGCTCTTGGAAACCTCCAGAAAGCCCAGATTAAAACCAGTTGATGCTTGAGATCCATGCCAGGCGATCATGTCTGCTTCTCCAGAGCGTACACGCTTCCCAACAAGGGTTTTGTTATGAAATTTGTATCAAGCAGTTGATGTGCAAAAACTTGTGAAGACCTCCTTTGCATGTCTCTGATAGAGTGATTTCTACAGGTGCTTTATCGCACGTGCAGAAATCGGGGTTCAGTTGCCCTCCTTGTCTGCGCAGGTTTGTACTCTCCTCCCAGCATTGGTGGTGGCAGAGAGCTGGCTCGTGTGCTGCCGGAGCCACCTCAGGTAGACCGAGGTAGCAAGCCCTCTCGGTTCTCGCGTTCTGCCCAGGAAAGGCTATTTGGCTCCCCAGGTAAGTGCAAAATTGTATTTAACAGGGCTGGCAATGAATTTTTATTGTATATTAAAGTGATGAATGGACACGTGGGCACCATGAAACATAGAGAAACACAGGGGTAGAGCGTTAAAGAGTGGTGGGCATTCAGCAGCCGTAGTTCCATACTTTGCAAAGCTACCGAATTGTCCGGGAGACTCCCGAATTTTGACCTAATCTCCCAATAGTACAAATGATATCTCGAATCTCCCGAAAAGTGGCCAGCACAGCTTAGATGTTTTTTTTAATCACACATGTAGTCGGCCTTTCCTGCTGCGACAGTTGCGGTGCTGCGGAACCACACTCACTACCTCTCTTCTAGTTCATTGTGACCATACCATAAAATCATCATCATCATCAGCCTGACCACATCCACTGCAGCTGCTGGATGAAGGCCTCTCCCAAGTTCTGCCAGTCAACTCATTCTTGTGGTTGCTGCTACCAATTTTACCTGCAAACCTTTTAACCTCATCTGTCCACTTAACTTTCTGTTTCCCCCTGACCCGCTTCTTTCTTTGGGAAACCCTTTATGACCTGTGGTTATAAAGGGTTTCTACGAAAACGCAGAGAGCGAAAAACTTTCTACGAAAACGCAGAGAGCAAAAAAGAAAACGAAGTGGACGCAAATCAGAATTCTCACAAAAGCATTTTACAGAAAGCTTTAAGAAGTACTAATTGAACTTACCTCAACAATAAAAGCAGAGGTTCAACACAAGGCAAGATTTATTTGAGACACAAAAAGTGGAAGCAAATAGTCGAGATTTAGAATACCATACGCGAAGCTTGGAGGCGTTACGGGCGTAGCGGTAGCGGTCGGCGCTCAACTGGAGCTCTCAAAAAGTAAGCGTAGGACGTCAGTATTGGGCTGATGGCTATTTAACATAATCGTTCGCTGTTCCCTTCTCAAGAAATAAAGTTTACCATCAATCCCAGTTTTAGGCACACGGCAGGCCCAACGCATCTTGGTGGCTTTCAGCTGCCGTCACCAGTAGCGAACACAAAACTCGTAGGCTCCGAAGGGCATACCGGCGACCCTGTTGCCGTTGTTTAGCGCATGATCTATCATTTGCAACTTGAAGCAGCCGTGTGGCTTCAGTATCGCCCCATAACGTGCCAAGATTACCGACACAACACACAAAACGCGCCGCAACTAGGGTGGTTAGAATTGGGAGGTGTGAAAACCGGCCACTCCAAAGTTGCTCCCACTCGCGAGCTTGCAGCGGTGGCGCTGTAGTCTGAGGCGCTGCCAGCTTTTTACGTTGAAATGCACCTGTGATGGTCGTTTCGAGTTTTTCACCAGTACAAGAGTTTTTTCAAAGTAAATATCAAGCAGCAATTTCACCTAATATGAATACACGCATCTTTCGCTGAACAAACATTTTATTAGAGCGAAGTTTTTGACGAAGCGTCATTCCGACAGCACCACTCTTTATTTGCTTAGTGAAACCAAAGCGGTTTTATTTTCTATAACATTGAACTACGTCTTAACAGAGTCAAAAAAAAAAAGCTTGCTCTAGTGGAGCAGGGTATCTTTGACAACGTTAGTTTGCCAACATTACCTTGTGCTAACCTTCAATAGATTGTGACGTTTGCTGCTAAATCTGCCTCAACAGTGCAACTTACCGAGTGCAGTTATGCATTGCTATTTTCTCAATGCTGGAATTGTATTACACTTAAGGCAGTATTCTGAAACATGCGTAGAAACTGAGACAACACTTAGTTTTATAGCTACAACAAAATTCATTACAATAAGTCACTAACGGACAGTTTTCTTACGTGACACAGGTCTTCAATTGCTTGATTTTTTTCTAGCCTTTTGCTGCGTCCAGACCCTTAAAAAAATAACTCTCGACACGCAAAATCATCTGACCACTGCTTTGTTCAACTATTTGCAATGTTCAACGCAGCCGATTTCTCGAAACTTCCTAGAGATCGTAGAAGACTGGCTACTAAATTCGAATGCAGGCGCACTGTGCTAAACACATGTGTCAACTTGGTTTCCATAGTCCCTACCAGGTTTCAGAGAGACTCTGACGGATACAGAAGTCCCCTTAGATCCCAATCTATAGTCGCCTGTCTTGGCAGCTTGTCGAGTCATTTGTGCAATCCTCCAACGTGTTAGGGTTATCGGGTCACTTCTTTGCTGGTACGTTGTCCGATGAAGCAGCATTTCGTCTTTTTTGTTCTTTAGGCAAACTTTTTGATATATATTTGGGCAGGCTTGGAAATAAGGTGGGTACAGCATCATCTCTTAAACTAGTCTTGTCACGCGGCATTCTTCCTGTCCTTCCACAATATGCACGAATTCTCGCGTGCTGAATCTAAAAACCAAGTGAGAAGACATAATCTTCAGGTAAATAAATGTACTTATCGAAAAACAATGGCCGAAGGGTTAAGAGCGGCACAGAGTGTTTAATATCTTCACTTGCCGATGTCTTCCACACATGCACACAAGTATTTTCTGCCCTTAAATAAATTCAAAACATTTACCATGCGTCGAAATGTTTTTCACTGATGGGGGTATTTTCCTGGAGCGCTTTGTCCGTCCTTGGGATGGTGCTCCCTTTTTGCTAACCTGCCTTTGCATGCCAGAGTGCACAAAAAAAAGGGAGAAACTCTCAGTGCACCATCTGTATTCCGCATTACACCCAGGCAAAAAAACAAGTCCGCAGAGTTTTTTCTTCTTTGTAGGAGACTTTTAGTCTTTTAAAGGCAAAGACAACAAAGTTGTCGTACCTCGTGGAACACAAACAATGCTGAGAAGCACTTGCCGCGAGTGACCAGCAGCCTCCCTTATTATACACTGCACCTGCAGCCGTCTCCGCCGTGCTAGTAGCCACGCTAGCAGCAGCCCCTCCGATCACTGCGCTAAATCACGACCTAGCGGAGCTCTCACGAACCACGGTGCCGCTCGGCAAGAGAAACACGGCTCGCTTTTCACATCTCCCCATTCTAGCCACCCTACCGCAATGCACACTGGCCACTTCGACTTGGCTTGAATTGGATTGGATCTCCGTGCAATAGTACGCTTGATGCTTATGAGATGGCGCCAGATGGTGCGCGCTATCATCATCAATGGCTGGAACGAGCAGACGACATTATTGCGGCAGTTTTCGGGGGTGCGATAATTACTCGAGGAAAAAAAATAAACGTATTTTTTTTTTCTTGGGCGATGTGGGGGGTGCGAGAATTACGCGAGTGCAAGGATTAGGCGAGTAAATACGGTAGGTAAAATGTGCAGCTGTTGATAAATGGGTATAGCATGGGAACGGAACGGGCTATATGTCATTAATTTTATCGCCTTGTTTTAATGGTGCTGAAGTTGTTGGAGATCAATTGCATGTGTGTTACCCATTGATGATAGACAGTTTAATAAGTGGCTGATAATATATGCGCTATAAAGCGAGAAAAATAGTATGAGGTTGAAAGAATGCATGTGTTTTAATGATAATGTGGATATCAAAAGAAACTTTTTTGATGAGTGAGTTGGCGTGAATGCTGTATTTAAAGAGTTTATTCAGAGTAATACCCAGAAATTAAACATAATCAAATGCCAGTATATCATAATTATTCAATGAAGCAGGTATAGAAGAAGTAACGGCTGTTTGAGATCTATAAAGAAGCATGGAAGTTGTTTTAGTAGAATTAATTTGAAGTTGGTAATTTAACACCATGAATGAACATTTTTAAGATCTCTAGTAAGAATGTCCTGAAGTGCGGTGACTGATTTATGTGGTGAATAAATGGCCGTATCATCAGCATACAGTAAACAGTTAGACGAGGTAAGCATATTGGGTAAGTCATTTGTGAATAGGAGAAACAACAAAGGGCCTAATACTAGAAAGCTTTGGGGAATGCCGCAGTTAATTAATTTAGTTGAAAAAAATTGGCCATTGACATACATTACTGGTGCCCCCTCACAGAACTAGCTGCGAAATAAGTTTAATAGTGGGCCAGTAATACTAAAAGACGGCAGCTTATCGAGAAGAAGGGATGTACCATTGTGTCAAATGCTTTTTTTAGGTCAATGAATATGGCTCTTACGACAAACCCTTCATCAATAAATTGTTTAATGCGGTCCATGAAATTTACTAAGGCCTGTTCTGTCAAATAACCATTCTTAAAAAAAAACTAACATGGGGAGAGAAGAATAAATTTGTTTAGATGGTTCATTATACGAGTGTGCAAAAGCTTTTCGATGACTTCACTAAAAAATGGCAAAATACAAATTGGGTGATAGTTATTAATGTTATCAGGAGCACCTTTTTTGAACACCGGAATCACTTTTCTACGTTTTAAGAACTCACTTTTCTACATTTCAAGATTTTGTTAGCAATATTTGCCACAACCATTGATATGTCAGCAGCATCCAGTTTCATTCTAGAAAGCGGGGTAGAATCCAGCCCTGGTTGCATAACTTTTAGAGAAGAAATTACATTAAAAACTTCTTCTGAAGAAACAGGACGAAGGAATAAAGACCGACAGCTACGTTGAAGATCGGGTGGAACACTAGAAGAAGACGTATTTCGGCGTATGGCAAAATGATTACTGAAAACGTTAGGCATATCAGCTTCGTTATGGTACTTTCTATCAATGTTCATTGTTTTTTAATATCCATATCTGACTCCGTAATATTAGGAATTCTTTAATGAGCTCCTAATTGCACCTGGTATCTTTTTCGTTTTCACATATCTGCCGTTCATAATATTCTTGTTTTGCACGCTTAAGGATGTCAGAAAGAAAATTGTTGTAATTTTTAAATCTAGCTCGCAAAGATATGTTGAAAGGCTGCAGTTTGACCTTTTTAAGGAGATTGTTTTTCTTAATTATAGAGTGCAGCAACACATTTGTGATCTATGAATTTCTAGGAGATGAGAATGTGGGCTTAAGGGATACATGGGTTGTGCAATCATTAATGTAGTTCGTCATCATTGACAGGTGCTTTGAATGTGCCTTCTCAGGACAACTTTCGCGTAAAA